ATATATATATATATATATATATATATATATATATATATATATATATATATATATATATATATATATATATATATATATATATATATATATATATATATATATATATATATATATACATATACATATATACATATATATATATTCCTTGACTTCAACCCGATACATACGATTATACGCATATTTATTGGTCGTTCTAGAGCTATACGGCCGATACTTCAACACTTCTTGATGCTACGCCACGATGTTCATGGAGCTCTTGCGATCCGGGGCCAAGTCTTGCTTCCAGCGGTTATAGATATCCTTCAACGCGTCTATATATTCTTGATGGTACTTGTCCACGTCATCCTGTACGCACAACCAGTACACGACCGATGATGAGTTTGAGAGTGATGGACAAAAAAGTAGGGTCCACCTAGGGGGCTTTTTCAGGGGTCTCGATTGGACAATTAGCAGAATACATATATATGAGTGGTGCAGCCAATACAGTCCATAGTAAAGTCCACCCGGGGACCTTTCCCTTTCCAAGGGTCACAACTAAGAGAATTAGCGGGATACAGCTACAAATTATGTAGCGAGTACAATGACCTAGTAGAGTCCATCTAGGGGGCCTTTCCAGGGATCTCGATTAGACAATTAACGCGATACAGCTACAAATGATGCAGCCAATACAAAGACCTAGCAGAGTCTATCTAGGGGCCCTTTCCAGGGGTCTCGATTAGACAATTAGCACGATACAGCTACAAATGATGTAGCCAATACAATGACCTAGTTGAGTCCATCTAGGGGGCCTTTCCAGGGGTCTCGATTAGACAAATAGCGCGATACAGCTACAAATGATGTAGCGAGTACAAAGACCTAGTAGAGCTAGGGGGCCTTTCCAGGGGTCTCGATTAGATAATTGATAGGACGCACACAAGAATGTGGCTAGATACTGTGTACTGAGTCGTACACCTTGCCGAAGCACTTGCATAGCACAATCACTGAAAATGCGCACGAAACACAGATATTGTCACATTGGTTTAATCATACACACTCATGTATGTGTACGTATCACATACTATCAATCATACACGCACATGTACATGTATGTATCACATTTCATCAATCATACACGCACATGTGCATGTATGTATCACATTTTATCAATCATATACGCCATGTGCATGTTTGTATAACATTTTATCAATCATACACGCACATGTGCATGTATGTATCACATTTTATCATCATACGTACATGTACATGTATGTATCACACGCTACATGTATGTACACACGCTACCTATTCTGCATACAGAAGCACGATTGCTTCACACGCATGCATGCACGAGAGTGCGCGCACCTATTCGAGTATCTGCCTCGTACACTCACGTATTTACCCACCACATCTGTACAACTAAACACTTAAGCATGGATATACAATACATACGGGTATATGGGTTCACACACGTGTGTATATGCACACCCGTGTACACACACGTGTGTATGTGTACACCCTTAAGTAGCCATAGTCACAGAGTCTCATCCAGTCCTACATATATGCACCATGTTCTCATCCCACCTACACGTATACACAAACCAATGCCCGCTTGTTGATGGTTGTTCATACCTGCGTAGGGTTGTCCAACTTCGGCAGCTCGATTGGTTTGCCGACTGCATAGCAATAATAAAAATAAACACACCGCAGAGTCAGTCAGTGGAACAGAGACACTCATGTCAGTATGCATGCATGCATGCATGCAGACATGCATGTGGTCGTTTGTGCAGGTTTCATATGTCTATAGTCCTTGACGACCTTTGTGTTTTGTCTGAGTATCTGTGTAGCTCAGAGAGAACAGAGAATAAGGGTATGGCAAGTATAGCCAACACAAGCATGTAATACAGATATAGATCGTATCGTGTACTAAGCGGCAGATAAATATTGTCGGGTATGTGTTCTGCAATTGAAACTCGCACACCACCCCGTGGCGAATATATATATATATATATATATACATATATATATATATATATACAGATAAGTATATTGCAAATATAAGTATAATACAGGTAGAAGTATGATATAGGTAGAAGTATAGCACATGTATAAGTATAATCAACGTGATCCAATGGTAGCAATGCATTCACACAGGCATCCGATGTGTACATACCGATGGTGACCAGTGGTTTGCGCATAGGCGTCAGACCAAAGTTGTACTGAAAGAAGCCTCGTCCGTGGAACATGGGGAGAGTGAACCCAACAGTCTTCATCATATCTTGCTGTGAAGTGAATGCAACGGAGACACGGGTTACAATGTACGGCTAAAGACAGACACACGTAGCACACACAACTAAATAGTACACCCTAATACCTGATACACATAAACAGACACTTCACCCTAATCCTCGGTACATACTATCCATATATTTCATCCTACAGCTTATATCCTCACTATACCATGTCTTATGTGATCGGAACATCAAACGTATTCGAAACATCAAACGTATTCGAAAAATCAAACGCAGGACATGCATATCGACATTCTTTTTCGCATCTGAGAATTGAGAAACGGCGCGTATACACCACAGCAATGTGATGCAACAGCTACACCACATTAGTTTGTTAATCAGAAAATCATACAGCAGTAGCCTACACCCGTGTCAACTGTACAACAACTGTATAGGGGACTTAATACAGATTTTGTCCGTGCGCAACGAATGGCTCCCACAGCGTATCATAATGAACCTGCTGATTCCATCGATCACAACTGGATTCCCATTTTATTTCATCCATCACTGGGTGATCTTTCAATTGATCTTTCTCGAAGATACTCTTTGTACTTCTATCATACGACACTTCAGTAATACCTTCAGTCTTTTGTTCTATATATGGTCTTTCAGAATAGGTAGGGACAATCGTGATCGTGTTCTCGTAGGTATCGCAATAGATGCGAAAATCGGTAGACTCATTTCCTTGTTCAATTCGTGCAAGATTTTAGTGAAGGAATATAAATATATAAATATATATATAAAACTATATATGTATTTATATCTATATCTATATATATATATGTATATATATATGTATATCTGTATATATGTATATATGTATATATGTATATATATATATATATATATATACATACATACATACATACATACATACATACATACATACATACATACATACATAACATATATACATACATACATACATATATGCTTGCATATATATATATATATATATATATATATATATAATATATATATATATATATACTACCGTCGTAGTAGTACGGTATATACACTAATAAACTTACCGTAACCG